CGAGATTCAAGTCGGTTTGGAAACATCTGGACTCAGGCATGTCTGGGTCTCCAGACCTGAGTACCCGGGGTGCAGCTTCTCTTACCACTATTCAGTCATCTTTATTCCGGTGGGTTGCTAAGTTCCACTCGATCCCCTCAAACCAGAGTCCATCTGCCAACCCGAGTTTTCCTCTCCCTGAAGATTTTCCCCTCAAAGTGTACATATTGCTCCTTCAACCGGAGAGACTCCCTGTCCCTCGGCCCCACTTGGCCGAGCGGCTGAGGCTTCTCTTGAAGGTTGAACCGTGTGTCTCTGCGGCCGCATCTCCAGAACCACCGGCTTTTTGGAAGGTACACTCAGCAGGAACATTCGGGAAACTCATGTCAACACCTGAGAGCGTGGGGTGTACGTGGCCCCTGGGGACTGCGGAAGCCGGTCTGACAGCGTCGTGACCCCCACCGCCCCCTCCTGAGGGGCGGCCACAGGCTCCCGGGAAGTCTTGGACTTTTCCCTTCTGTCTGGTTTGACCTTTTCTGGGGTACAAGTGGAAAAAAAAAAGTGTACACAATTACTGTAAGGTTTTCAAAGGTCTTGCCTGGTAATTTAACAGAACAGACTCTCTCTTCAGTAGGATGAGCCGGAATCTTACAAAAGCCCCAAATCTAATTTCCTCGGCAGCCTGCGGGCTCTTTGGAGCCAGCGAACGCGGGGAAGCTTTCTGGCCGGCCTGGTACCTCTCGCCCGTGGTTTCTGCAGACGCAGCGTGGGTGCAGGCTGGGGTCGGCCTTCCTTCGGCCTCTCCCCGGGAACCGCCGGCTGCCCTGAGCGGAGACGGCTGTCCCCAGACCTCTCCGTCGCCTGTGTCCTGCTCCCTGGCTGGAGGGGTCACCCCTCCCCGGGCACTAGCGGTCTTCCCATTGGTCTTAGCTGGCCGGTGCGTTTCCTGCTGGTACAGGGCAGCCGCCAGCCCGGGCCAGCCGCCCACGTGAGCTGCTCAGGGATCTGCCCTCCAGACAGTTGGTCCCTGACAGCTCCCAGGGCACCTCCGTGTCCCGGGCAGGGCAGGCGTCGAAACGGTGCCAGAGGTGTGATTTCGGGCACGAGGGACTCAGGTCGCTTCACAGCGGAGAATACAGACTGGGAAAGGGATTTGCAGCGTCCAGCCATCTGGAATGCTCAGTCTCGTGTGTGGCCCAGAAGGGAAATAGGAGTACTGAAACAAAGCAAACTGGGTTTTGGGCTGTTGGTCAGTCTATTTATTCAGTGTCTATAGACCTTTGCTCACACACAGCTTACAGCCCTGATACCATCCGATGCAGAATTATTTCTAAGTCGAAACACAGCTCGTGTGACCACGGCGTTTCTTCCTTGCTTATGCCCGCGCACGCGCGCTTTGGATAGATGACTGTGAAAACATCATTGCGCTCCCTAAGCATGGAAGGACACAGACCATATTAAAAATAGATAAATAGAGTTCATTCATTCCTTTGTGCTTGAGGGCCAGCTCTGTGTATCTCTGTCACAACACAGGGAGCGGAGACAGACTGAGCCCTGTGGGCTCACAGAGCCGAGGGTGTCATGGGGAAATCAGACTATAAACAGAGCGGTGTCTGGTGGGGGGAGCAGGGAGGGGTGGGGGAGGGGTGCCGCTGCTCCAGGCGTCTGCCCCCGCTGATCCGGTGACATGCAGAGGAGGCCTGGAGGCCGCGAGGGTCCGTCTGCTGACCGGGCAGGGCCTCCCGGCCGCGGGAACAGTGTGTGCAGGGGCCCTGTGGAGGGAGGGGGCACCCCAGGAAAGGGGCCGGAGCGCTGGCAGGGCCCGTGGTGCAGGGTCTCGAGGGCATTGTGGGCACAGTGAGCCAGCAGCCTTTGCAGGGTTGGACAGAGTCCTGACTTCTAAACGTTCTGCCCGCTGAGGGGCTCGGGCTGCCCAGGCTCTGAGTTCATGGCTCTGTAGACTTTTTCCAGGTCCAGGGGAGACGGACACACATCCCTGACGCAGGCCTGGGAAGACAGGTGACAGGTGCCTCCTGGTACTTCCTTAATTTCATAACGTTTTATTGCAGATATTCAAAATGTGTACAGAAATAGGGAAATGGTAAAAATAAGAATAAGTAATAAAGATAGATAATGAAATAGGATAATTGTAAATAAACAGGGAAGGTGGTATAATGTATAGTTGTGATGTAGTTATACACTTCTATACGCACATCTCAGTATATTTGTAATAGTAGTCCAGTGTTTAGTAAAATACCGTTTAGTGGCCCTTCATGAACTTCTTATGAGGCGAATCACGTCTCCCGACGTCGCTGTTCTAATAAAGCGAGGGCTAATCCGGAGGGCGTGGTACATGAGCTCATGAGCCTTGAATTTGAGGCTCGGGGACACGCAGATCCGAGGCCAGCAGGTGAGTCACTGGGGTTTGCAGGGCTGTGCGGAGGAGGGTGGAGCAGAAGGAGGCGGAGACAGGTCTTCCTGGAGGCGCAGGTGAGGGGTGCGTGTTCCTGGAGCTGCAGGGGGGCGTGAGTGTGGCCTTGTTGGCCTGTGGGGTGGAGGTCCGTCCGTGCAAGGCCTGGAAAGCTGAATGTCGTTGCTGCTTTAAAAGCCGTGAGCAACATCCTGAGGACTTTGCGCCGGAGCTGACCTGACCGCACTGGAGAGCTTTGCGGAAATCAAGGGCGCGAATGGAGACTGGGTGGCCTCGGGGATCTCATGGCTGCAGGCGAGGAGCCTGGTGACCTCTGGGGGTGTGGGAAGACCATGGGAGAGCAGAGCAGCGCCCCCTGGTGTCTTACCCGCCGCGTAGGTGACCCCAGGCACCCTCCACGCCTCGCTCTGGAGTTGGAGGTGCAGGGCTCCCCTGTGAACCCTCACCCCACGGTGTCTGCTTGGGGAGGTGCCGGGCGTGGTCCAGCAGGGCAGGCTGCCCTTTCTCTGCTGTCAGATACTATCTCCAAACGGCGATGGGCTCACGCTCACCACAGGGGACTGGTGGTGTCAGGCCTCTTGAAGGGCCATCTCCCTCGACCACCGGGGAAAAGTCGCCATCCTGGGCTTTCCTCGGGGCATGGAGCACCATGGGACAAACCACCTCCGTCCCGTGTAAGAGCGTGAATGGCTGCATTGACGCACGGAGTGAAGGCGACGCTTCTGGCCACCGGGGAGTCGCACGTCGGTGCCGGGGCTGTGCTCCCGCTGACAAGTGGCTCATCTGTTCCTTCAGTGGCAGCCTCTGAGGGTGTCTTGGTGTTTTTAAAGATCTTTATAACTGCTAACACTTTCTGTCTGTCCCCTGGCTCTGGGTCATCCGTATGTCCCCCCATCAATAGTAAACAAACACGACGATCCGTCTCCAAAGTTTCCAGGGGTGCGTGATCCGTGCTGCCCACCCCGACGCCGATTCCCCCTGGGGCCACCTCCCAGGAACCCGAGAATCTGGCCACTCTGAAGTGTTTCTCTCATTTCCTGTTGCCGACCTGCAGATTCTTCCCGGTGCTGCCTGGAAGCTGTCTCGGGGTCCTGTGGGTGCCCCGTGCGCTCTCCAGCCCCGGATACCTCCGCCCCATCCGGACTTCACCCACGTCACCTGCCGTGGACGCGGGGCTTCGAGGATGGCGGGGCTGGTCCCCATGTCGCCTCTCCTGCCGCTCACCTGCACCCCCTAAGCTGCGTCGGTCATGTTCAGAGATGACGTCATCGCTGCTTCCGTTTTCCTCGGCGCAGCCAAGTTCTCTTTCTCAACCAGGAGCCTTCCGTGGCTTCCCAGGGTCTCCAGGGCAAAGACGAGACCCTGTGCCAAGACCAGGGCTGCTGAAGCCCCAGCTTCGGGGACAGAGCCCCTGAGCCGCTCAGGCTCCCCACGGGGTCGTGAGGTCAGATCCGGACGGGCTGTCCGTGCCCCTTCCCCAGATGAGAAGGTCGAGGCTTAGTGGAGCCAGACTGAGCACGAGTCATCCCAGTGTGGATGGAACCTGGGGCTGCTCGCCGCACCCACCCTTGGCCAACAACGCTGCAGAGCCCGAGGGGCAGGGTGCGGGACTGGCTAAGTCGTCACCGCGGCACAGCGGCTGCTGATGGCGGAGCCCGCCCTCCAGGTCTCCGGTCAGTAAAGGAGACACATGGGTCAGAAGCTGCATTTCAGGGTGTCTTTGGATAGAGAAACCAGGGACCTCGGACCAGGTTCCGTGAACCCAGTTCCATTGGGGTGAAACTCGCTGCGCCCTCCCGGGTGCACTCAGCTCCGAGTGTGGCGCCGGCCGTGGGCTGCGGCGTGGCCTCCGGTTTCTGTGGAATTCTCTGCTTTGGAACCGGCCCTTGGCTGTCCCTTTTCCTGAGCCCTGGTGAAGGAAGGTCTGCGCACAGCCGGCCACCTCCTGCGTCTCCAGAATCCCCTAAAAGCCCCGTGTCCCTTCCCAGAGAAAGGCTGAGGCCTCGGGCGAGATCCCGTGTCTTTCCCACAGAAACGTCTGTGCTCGGTCAGTGACGACACCATGGCTCAGTGACTCGAAGGTTCCCTTGCATAAGTTACGTGAAAAGACCTTATATATATATACAAGTGGCCACTTGTGTGTTTTATTTATGAGGGTTTGATTTTGTGGGGTCCCGGGAAGATTTACGGGGAGTGCGGGCAGGGAGCCCTGTCTCCAGGGGCTGGAGTCAGCCTTGGCTGTCCGCACCGTGGGACACCACCATTGGATGTATCCCTCCGCTCTCGAACCCTGGAACCAGCAGGGTGGGCGGCACAGGTCGTCTCGTCCTCTGGCCGTAGCGAACAGGCTGGCCAGATGCCTGACGGGTTCACAAAGCCCACTGTGCCCCAGGAAGAGGGGCACCCCGGGGCCTGGACACTGGGCTCTGTGCGCAGGACCAGGGAGGGAGCCCGCTCGGCCTCGGGGCCGGGAAGTGACAGGGTCTGTCTGCAGGGATGGCCAGTGGAGGAGAGAAGATTCCTGCTTCCCATTAAATGACTTTGTAGCCCGTGTTCCTCTTGCTCAAGGGAAGGTCTTCTCTTCTTTCAGGAAGAAGCGCGCGGCACCCGGCGCCGCGGGCAGCATGGTGGTCTGAGCGGGCGCCTCCGCCGTTGCTGGACTGACGGAGGAAGAGAGATGGCACCGTAGCGGTTCCCAGGAGGAGGGTGCAGGATGGCAGCCCAGCGGATCCGGGCCGCCAACTCCAGCGGCCTCCCCCGGTGCAAATCCGAGGGGACCCTGATCGACCTGAGCGAAGGGTTTTCCGAAACGAGTTTTAACGATGTCAAAGGTGAGCTCCCGGGCGGACCTGGGCCTGCCGGGTCCGAGGCTCCGGGTCCCGATTCACACGGTGCCTTTAGCTCCCTGAGCTCCCTCGCGTTACAGATCCGGGCCCAGGAGGTTCCTCTGTCTTTTGGTTTTGTTTCTCTGGCGTGTTGGGAGGTGGTTTTTCGTTTTCTCTTTAGTAATGGAACTTCGTGCGTGTGTTTTGGTGACATTACGGTAGGAAGCTTGGTGGCACAGAAAACCAGGGGAAAGAATCACTTATTGGAAACACCAGGGAAGAGAAAGGGTGGTCTGGGATGGGGTCGCAGGCGTTTTCCACGAAGGGTCATGCAGGAAACAGTTTGAGCCTTGCGGGATCTAGGGTGTCTGTCACAGCGGCTCAGCTCTGGCCGGTAGCTTGGAGGCCGTCAGAGAAGAGAGCAAACACATGGACGTGGCTGTGTTTCTTTTTTTTTATCCTCACCCGAGGACATTTTTCGATATTTTGTTCAGATAGAGTGGGAGGGAGAGAGGGAGAGAGAAACATCGATGTGAAAGCGACACATCGAGTGGTTGCCACCCACACGGCCCAACCAGGGCCGGGGACAAACTGCAACCAAGGTACGTGCCCTTAGCGGGAACCGAACCCGCGTCTCTCCGGACCGCAGGCCGATGCTCTGACCGCTGAGCCAAACCGGCCAGGGCGACGTGGCTGTGTTTCAATAAAACTTTATTTACAAAAGCAGCCAGTGCATGTGGCTCTGGGGCCATAGTTTGCAGACGCGGGTTTCAAGGTGGCCCTCGGGTTTAAAGCACCCTGTGCCTGTGGGTTTCTCCAGTATCCACAAAAAAATCTGGGTTGGTGAGAAAACCTATCTTTCGGACACCAGGGGAGAGACACTGGTGGGTCATCATCTTCCTTGAAGCCCACCCCGACCTCACAGCCATGAACAGCGTCTGCCGAGAGCTCTCCTGGTGCCCTGTGCCCACCCCCATCGTCACCGTCATTCTGTTGACATCACCCACCGTGCAGCGGCCATATCTCTGCCTTTATCTCTTTAGCCCATGGCACAAGGGCAGAACTAAATAAGTCACCCTGCACTGAACTCCTCTCTCCCCTGACGTCCTGAGGGTCAGCGGACGTGCTTCTCTCTCCCCTCCCTCCTCTCCCACGCCCCTCCCCCGTGCTTGGCACTGGCAGCCCCGAGCGCGGCTCCCAGTGTCTTCAGGAGGAGAACGGCAGAGGGAGTCATGAGGGTTTCTTCGTAAGCGCAGCAGCTTTGGGTGTTGCTATAAATAATCGAACCGTTCGTTTTTTATAGACTGGTAATGGATGTCGTCTTTCTTTAGCCCGGCGAGGCACAGCGATAGCGGGAAAGCGTGAGCAGGATGAGCGTGGGGTTTGGGTGGGGGTCTTCCCGAGGCGCTGCATTTTAACACATCGTGATCATCTGGGAGGAGCCGTTGTTCCCGGAAGAATTGCACAAGGCAGTGTGGGATGTGAGGAGGGGCTGGTGAGCTCGTGTGTGTGTGGGGGGGGGGGGCAGAGGCCCCTCGACAGTGCCCTCCAGGGCAGGGCTCCAGCCCAGCTACTCCACACACATCAGCATGGTGAGCAGACTTCGAGTGGGGATTTCTCCAGCCAGAGTATCTACTGTGAAATGTTCTGCTCCTGATGAGTGTTTTTCCTGCAGAAGAACTGAGGTAGAGGGGAGGAAACGTATTTATCCAGGGCCCTGAGCTTCCTGGCGCCCGGGGCGCTTTTCTGTGTTAAAATCAAGGTAGCCGTGACTCCGGGCCGCACGCCCCAGCGTTCATGAGGTTGGAATCCAATAGGGATTTTCCTGCCTCTCTGATTGAATGGCGGCCCCAGCCTGGTGTCCTAGGGCGCTCTGTGGAGTGACCGATGGAGGGCCCCTCCTGGAGGGAATTCACACCACTGTCCACTTCCTGGGGGGCCCCAGCGGGAAGGAGCTTGATCTCATTGATCCCTGTGTGAAATCTATTGCCACCAACCTTCTGAGAGTGCTTGGAATTCCAAGTAAAACCGTTTTTATTCTTCAGTCTGGGAAGACCGAAGTGATCATCGCTTCGACGCACTGCCTTAGGCTCTGTACAAGGCCAACCTATAATCGCTTCGGTTTTTCATTTAAACAATGTGACTGAGGGAATTAACCTGGGGCAACATTATAGGGATCTCACTGTTGCGGGAGTCTGACGAGACTTTAGTAGCCCATGGGCCTGCTTTAATTTTCATTTGGTTTTAATGTTCATGTGACATTTTCATTAGATGTGTCCAGGAAACAAGGGGTTTGTGTTGCCGGAGCCCGTGACCAGACACCAGAGTGGGAGAGGGTCTTCCGTGGTCTCCGACCGGCCCGATCCTGCTCCCTTCTCTCGCCTCCCTTCGAAGCCGGTTCTTTTTATCCCTCCCCTTCAGGGGTCAGTGGGGTAGTCGAGGGCACCGCCGGGGGGAGTCTCACTCTGCCTTTGGCCATCCCCTGGCCCTCTAGCGTGGAGAGTCCTCTGCTGTTAGCAGACAAGATGAGCGGTAATTCAGTGACTTTTGATTGAGCCATCTGTGTGCCGGGCTGTGTTCCAGGGGCCCCGCCGTGAGCGTGTAACAGACCCGAATGGAGATTATATCCTAATGGAGCTTGTATCCCAAGGGGCAATGGAACCCTCCCCTGCAAAAAAAAACAAAAAACAAGCCCTGGCCGGTTTGGCTCAGCGGTTGGAGTGTCGGCCTGCGGTCCAGAGAGACCCGGGTTCGGTTCCCGCTAAGGGCACGTACCTCGGTTGCAGTTTGTCCCCGGCCCTGGTTGGTCGTGTGGGTGGCAGCCACTCGATGTGTCCCTTTCACATCGATGTTTCTCTCTCTCTCTTTCTCCCACTCTATCTGAACAAAAAATGGAAAAAAATGTCCTCGGGTGAGGATAAAAAAAACACAAAAAAATGAAGATGTAAGGTGTCTGATACATCGATGCTGCGGAGAAGATAAACCAGGAAGGGCCCTCGGGTGGCCACGGTGACAAGACGTCGGGTGTGCTTCTACCAGGCAGGTCCGCGCTGCCCAGTTCACGCAGAGGCTTAGAGACGTCCTGCGTTAGACTTTGCCGAAGGAAGAAACGTGTATTTTCTTTGTTTCCTTTCAAAGGAAGGCGAACCTGGGTGGGAGATGGAATTTTTTGGAGGGCCAGTTTGAATAGAAGCCCGTTCACTTAATCACATGTTGGAGTCGCTCCCCTAGAACTTCAGTCCGACTTCGCTTGTTGACGCAGGCAGCCCGGAGAAGGTTTCCTTTCCGTTCAAGTGTTTGTTACAAGACGCAGAATATGAGCAAACGACACAGCAGGCTCAGCCCGGGTGGGGGTGGGGCCCGTCGCCCCGGGAAGAACTTCCTGCTGCCTCTTCTTGGCCCCCTCTCGGAGGAGGAAGGGAACACGCTTAGGTGTGGAATGACCGGTTTTCAAAGCACACACCACTTGGGAGATGACAGGACTTTGCTCTTCCGGTCGCCTTCCCCTTGGGTGGCGTCCGCAGTTGACCGCCAAGAACCGTGAACGAGCTGAGTCGCGGTGTCGGGTGCTGGGGTGTTTCCGACGGCCTCACCGGGGCTCAGAAATCACTCTGGCCAGACAAACGCCTTTGATTTCTGTAGTATGGGGGGGAGACCATTTCCATGTTATTCGAATGGCCGGTTCAAGGAGGTGGAAAGAGATTGGCCTTAAGGACCTTATGTCCATAGAAACAGTTTGATGAAGAAGGGGTTGGACTTCGAAATGGAAGAAAAGGGCCCGGGCGTCCAGGGAACGTGGTCTTTCCGAGGCTCTGCTGTCCCCGTGCCTGGGTACCCCGTGCCGGCTCACTGAACGCGAACATCTCCGTGTTTTCTAAGAAAATCCCACTTAATGGATCTTTCTACTTTGGGGGAGGACAGCTTTTTCCCGACCTTTCTAGACTTTTCCGCTAGTTTAATAATTACATTGACAGAAGACAGACGAGCGGGAGGGAAACAAATTCAATGACGGGCGTATGGGAGCCTCTTAACAAGAGACCCAGAGCCTCAGGCCGCAGAGATTGATCTGCCAGCTGAGCTGGGAAGGAGGAGGTGGGGGCCCGGGGCTTCGAAGGGAAGGAAGACAGTTCCCGGCAAGATGGGAAAAGCGCGTGTTTGCTAAACATGTTCTCCAGCCCTGCGGAGACAATGGGACGCACATTCCCTTCCTCGCTCCCCCGCCCCAGCCTCCCCAGCCCACCAGCCTGGCCGTGCTCTGTCGTTATCTCTGCTGGTCACTCTTCCTGGCGCAGGCCTTCTGTCTACATCCCTGGGAGCGATTACGGGAGAGGTAAAACACTCTTCTGGGACTTTGGGCCTTGGTTGTCTTCAGATCAGCCCCATGCCCCAGTGGCAGCCTGCCCCCCCCCCCCCCGTCCCCCTCGCTGCCCAGCCAGCCGCAGTTCTGTGCAATTAGTTAGATACAGAAAAGTTTGGTCCAAACGAGATGCTTAAAACACAGGGACACGGTGACTGTGTCTGTGGATGGCAGGGAGACGTCCCTTGTGGCCTCGCCGGACCTGTGTGTCGGCCTTGGCCGAGTGTGGTGGTCACACACCCCGTCCCACTTTGGTCTGAGTCTGCGTGTCTCGCGCCTGGCTCGTCGCCGCACCTGGCCTGTGTTCCTTAGCCCGCCCTCCCCCGCTGGGACGGGGTCCCGCAGCCCCGCGGCCTGGCCCTCACCCTCTGCTCTGCTTCTTCCAGTGCCTTCTCCCAGTGCCTTGCTCGGAGACAACCCCACCGCTTTCGGAAATGCCAAGGAAGTGGTCGCAATCAAGGACTACTGCCCGAACAGCTTCACCACCCTGCGGTTCTCCAAGGGCGACCACCTCTACGTGCTGGACACGTCCGGCGGCGAGTGGTGGTACGCGCACAACACCACGGAGATGGGCTACATCCCCTCCTCCTACGTGCAGCCCCTAAACTACCGCAACTCCACGCTGAGCGACAGCGGCATGATCGACCACCTCCCCGACAGCCCGGGCGAAGTGGCCAAGGAGCTGGATTTGCTCGGAGGGTGGGCAGACGATACGAGGGGCTCGGGCAAAACCTACAGCAATAACCCTTTCTGGAACGGAGTCCAAACGAACCCATTTCTGAATGGGGCCGTGCCGGCGGTGTCCAGCATGGTCGAGCCGGCTCCCAGGAGCGCCGTGGACCTGCTGCTCTTCGAGCCGGGCACACCCTCCTTCCCCGAGTCCAGCTCGGCCACCACCAACGGCACCGGCAACGTCTTCGACGAGCTGCCGGCCACGCAGCCGCTCCACGCCGAGGCGCCGGTCCGGCGGGACAACCCCTTCTTCAGGAGCAAACGCTCCTACAGCCTGTCCGAGCTCTCCGTCCTCCAGGCCAAGTCCGACGCGCCCGCCGCCTCGGGGTTCTTCGCGGGCCTGAAGTCCCCGGCCCCCGAGCAGTTCCAGAGCCGGGAGGACTTCCGCGCGGCCTGGCTGAGCCACCGGAAGCTGGCTCGGTCCTGCCACGACTTGGACCTGCTGGGCCAGAGCCCCGGTTGGGGCCAGACCCAAGCGGTGGAGACGAACATCGTGTGCAAGCTGGACGGCTCCGGGGGCTCCGTGCAGCTGCCCGACACCGGCATCAGCATCCACGTCCCCGAGGGCCACGTGGCCCCGGGGGAGACGCAGCAGATCTCCATGAGGGCGCTGCTGGACCCCCCCCTGGAGCTCAACAGCGACAGGTGCTGCAGCGTCAGCCCGGTGCTGGAGGTGAAGCTGAGCGCCCTGCAGGTGAGAACCGTCCTCGTCTTGGAGATGAAGGTTTCTGCCCAGGTGAAGAATGACATTCTCAGCAAAAGCACCGTGGGCCTCCAGTGCCTGCGGAGCGACGTGAAGGAAGGTCCCTACGCCCCCATCCCGCTCACCTACAGCTGTGGGGACACGGTGCAGGTGCACCTGGACAACCTGGAGCCCTGCATGTACCTGGCCATTGTCGCCCACGCACCGAACATTCTCTACCCGTCCACCGTGTGGGACTTCATCCATAAAAAGGTCACCGTGGGTCTCTACGGCCCCAAACACATCCACCCGTCCTTTAAGACGGTGGTGACTGTTTTTGGGCACGACTGTGCCCCGAAGACGCTCCTGGTCAGCGAGGTCACCCGCCAGGCCCCCAGCCCTGCGCCGGTGGCCCTGCAGCTCTGGGGCAAGCACCAGTTTGTCTTGTCCAGGCCCCAGGACCTCCAGGTCTGCATGTTCTCCAACATGACCAACTACGAGGTGCAAGGCAGCGAGCAGGCCAAGGTCGTGAGGGGCTTCCAGATGAAGCTGGGCAAGGTGAGCCGCCTGATCTTCCCCATCGCCTGCCACAGCCCCGGCGAGCTCTCGGACTTCACCTTGAGGGTGCAGGTCAAAGACGACCAGGAGGCCGTCCTGACGCAGTTCTGTGTGCAGACCCCCCAGCCGCCCCCCAAAAGTGCCATCAAGCCGTCCGGGCAGAGGCGGTTTCTCAAGAAGAACGAGGTCGGGAAGATCATCTTGTCCCCGTTTGCGGCCACCACCAAGTACCCGACTTTCCAGGACCGCCCCGTGTCCAGCCTCAAGTTCGGGAAGCTGCTCAAGACCGTGGTCCGGCAGAGCAAGAACCACTACCTGCTGGAGTACAAGAAGGGCGACGCCATCGCCCTGCTCAGCGAGGAGAAGATCCGGCTGAAGGGGCAGCTGTGGACCAAGGAGTGGTACATCGGGTACCACCAGGGCAGGGTCGGCCTCGTGCACACCAAGAACGTGCTGGTGGTGGGCAAGGCCCGGCCCAGCCTCCTGTCGGGGCCCGAGCTGAGCACCTCGGTGCTGCTGGAGCAGATTCTGCGGCCTTGCAAGTTCCTCACCTACGTCTACGCGTCCGTCAGGACCCTGCTCATGGAGAACATCAGCAGCTGGCGCTCCTTCGCCGATGCCCTGGGCTACGGGCACCTGCCGCTGGCCTCCTTCTGCCGGGCGGAGCCGGACAGCGAGCCCGAGCGGGTGGCGTCCGTGCTGGAGAAGCTGAAGGAGGACTGTAACAACGCGGACAGCAGAGACCGGAAGTCCTTCCAGAAGGAGCTCATGATGGTAGGTCCCCGGCGGGTCTGGGTTTGGGGAGGGCGGGGCGAAGGCCAGCCTTTCCCTCGCACGCGTGGGTGCCGTGTGGCTCCCTGAACCGCCAGACCGGCGTCTGGGCTCACGTCTGCTCCCGGGAGGGCAGGGGCAGGGTGTTAAGCACCTGGAGAGGGGCTTTCACAGGGCACCCGTGGGTCCCCCATCCGCTCAGGTCTGTCTCCCTATGAATGTGGGGCTCCTCAGAGTGGATCTCCGCGGGCCAGTGGGATGGGGACACACGGGCCTGGGCTCCAAGCCCCTCCCTCCGGAGGCCCCTCGGGAGAAGGTCTGCGAGCGGCACCCCGACTCCAGCACGTGGAGAACCACTGCCCCAGGTCCGGCTGCATTTTATGAGTTTCCTCTTCGTCCTACTTGAAGGCTCCTGGTGTTACTCTTGTTTCCTCCCCCTCCTCCCTGCTGATTCAGGACGGGGACAGCCTCTGTTCTGCAGCACGGCCAGGAACCGGGACCCTGAGAACTGCACAGGGAAGTTGGGGTCACTGCAGATACGCCCGACCACCAGCCAGCCGGGAAGCGGGTCCGGGCCCAGCCCCCGGCCACACCCACCGCCGCCCTCTCCTGGGTCGGACCCGTGCTGGTACTGGCCTCGGACAGGCTTAGTCATGTCCCTCTCTGGGCATCTCTCGTCGAGTCTGCTGGACGTGGTCTTTCGACTTCATTCTCTCCCCACCCCTGATGTGAGGTCCTGGGAACCCCCTGTGTGACTCGGCCACATGCTCTTCTTGTTCCGCCGACACCACCTTGGCGAGGGCCTCTCAGCGCCCCTGGCGTTTCCGCCCCTCTGCTCCCTCCTTCCCACAGGGCCAGTGTCTGTGGCTCTTGGGACAGGTGAGCCAGGTGTGTCTGTGTGTGCCTGAGCTTCGCTCAGTGCACACACCTGTCTGCCAGCCCCTGGAGCCGGGGGTCAGAAGGGACACAGCCCACGGCGGCGTGGCCACCGCTGCAGGGAGTGGGGCGCCAGGCAAGGCCCCCGACAGCGCCCCAGTGGGGAGCCGACCCTGGCCACCAGGAGGTCATTGTGGCATCAGCAGCTGGCGGAGAGGATGTGGGACTGTCATGGCGGGGTGAGTGGGGCACCCAGTGGCCCCTCGCTGATGCCTTGTGGCCCTCCCTTTGGGCACGCCTATGAACCCAGTTCCCGGACGGCGCGCTGCCGGTGTCCTTGGATGGACCTCACATGGGCAGGGGCCCGGCCTCCCTCTCGCCAGCCTCAGGCCGCAGTTCTCCATCGACTGCTGAATTCCGTGCGTTCACGGAGCATAAACGGGTTGCTCGCGGCTTCTGACAGCTCCGTGGGCAGAGGTGGGAAATGAAGCCACACTGCACGGCCCCTTCCCGCCTGCGGGGTTGTCTGAGGAGGTGGCATGATCCTGTCTCCTCGTTTCTTTCCAGAAGACGTAGGGGTTGCTCCTTTCTTCCCACTCAGGGGACCCGGAATCGGGTTTTCAGTCGGCCTCCCGAGGTTGGTTTGTGTGAGGATGGGGCTCTGGGTGTGTCTGGGACCCTCTCCCCTCCCCCAGCCCCACACCCACCGTGGCTCCCAGAGTCCCAGGGAGGAGGAAAGGAAACTCGACCTTGGCCAGAAGGTGCCGGGGGAGCTGGACTCAGTTTCCCCCCGACCTCTGAGCAGCAGACCTGAGTGACCCCTAGAAGCCACAGACCGGCCTATCCCGGCGTATTCGAGGACTCGCTGGAGACCAGGTGTTTCATTTCCGGGGACCAGACGTTGAAGAGCAGTCAGTTTCCTGCAGCGTCAGCTGAGCGTCTAGCCTGCCCCTCGCCGCCCGGCCCGCCCTCCGCACCCTCTCCGTGAAGGTGGCTTCCTGTGCAGCGATGACGCCGCAGTCTGGGAATCGTGCAGATTGGCCAGGAGATGGGAAGAAAGATCCGTCCGTCCACTGCCATCGGAATGGGGCCCGGGCCCCTTCCTCCGCCCTGAAAGACCTGGTCCCCCCATCTCATCACGGGGGACCACACGCCCCTTGCACGGGCCTCGCCGGGCCTTTCTCCGTGTCTTGAACACAGGTGGCTCGCTCCTGCCTCGGGTTTTGCACGTGGCTGGCTTTCCACCTCCTTCAGCTCCCAGCCCAGACCTCTCCCTGCAGCTCTCGAAAAGGCCACCGTGTCCCTCTGGGTCACCGCAGCCCGTCAGCCTCCAGGGTACTTTCCAGGTCTGGGGGGGCCTGTTCACTGGGGTTCGTGTGCTCTGGTATTGCTCTAATTGAGGACAGAAGGCTCGTGAGAAAGGACCCGGCACACGGGAAACACTCAGGTATTTGGAGAAGGAAGGAAGGAAGGAAGGAAGCATCCGACTCAGCCCCTTCTGATATGAGCAGACCGAGCCTCTGTTCTTTGGTGCCAGTTCCTCTTTTTGCTGTTTTGGTGCATATTTTCCACATCAGCTGGTGTGGGAGGCATGCTGTGTAACCACAAGGACCTCCTGGGGTGCTCTGCCTGCCCTTCGTCACCCGCACAGCGTGTGACCACAGAGAATGGCCCCTCTGATCCCCGTCCTCCAAGCTCTCCAGCAGAAGCATGCCTGTCTGTGATCATCCAGTTTCGACGACACCCCCAGACCGTGTGAAAGTCGGGGAGGGTGGTGCTGGGCTGCCCGCAGGTGCACAGAGCCCTGGGAGGCATTGAATGCACCCTGGGGATCCCTGTGCCGGCGGGTTCGGTCGACGCCGGAATGGACACCACACATTTGAAGAACTTGGTCCAGTTCTGTTGTTGTCAGAGGCAGGGCAGGGGTGACGGCGGCAGGTGCGAGCCGGGAAGAGCCGCCACCGACAGCCGGTGCAGGTGTGTGTACTCGGCTCAGGAAACACTTCTGTGCCCACTGTGTGCTCAGGGCAGTGCTGGGTGCTGGGCTTTCGAAGACTACACGCCTTCACCACAGGAAGACGGTGACACCACAGGACAGCGCACGGACTTGTAACGGCCTCTCTTGCGTAGATGGGCCGGGGCAGGGAAATGGAGGTGCTGGAGGGTGTGCAGGGGCCCAGCCAAGGGGGAGGGGCTGTCAGGTCTGAGGGACCCTGGGCCAGGGCACGGAGTAGGACAGAGCAGAGGTGTGGAGAGGCTGGGGGCCGGTTGAATTCATCGCTTGGGGCAAATGGCACATGGGGCAGAGGGACAGTGGCGCGAAACCACCTGGGCCAGGCCACGCCCTGTGTTCTGAATGCCAAGGGTGGTTAAGTGTTTCGGGGGAGTGAAGGGGGAGTCAGGGGGATCAGGTGTGTCCCTGCTCCTTGCCCCTTCCTGTCTCGGGTCAGGTGGCAGCCAGTGTAGTACCCCAAGTGTCCTTCCTTCAGAAAGCTGGGGTGGGGACCTGGCTTCCATACTCACCCCTGGCTCTTAAGACAGCGAGCGGGCTGTTCATTTGCAGCGCAGGCCAGAAGGGCCGCCAGGCTGGGGACTCTCACAAGCTTGTGCATACGGGCTTGGTCATCGCTCCCCACCAGATTGCAGAGCTGGGGCCCACGCGGGCACACTGCACCATGCCTGCCCCTCCCCCGGCCGGCAGGGTCTGCGGGCGGCCTGGGGACGGGCCGTTGGTTCTCCTGCCCTGGGCCCCTCAGCGCTGACCTTCAGAGCGTCAGGAGTCCTTGGGTTTGCACAGTGGCCTTGGCTGCGCCCAGGTTTTGTTTTTCTCAGGAATGAAAACAGCCCTCATCGGTCTCTATTTATAACGACAGCGCGTGCTGCTTACCCATTGAAATTCCGCACTGCTGGGGAGCGGGCGGACAGTGGGTCCTCCCACAGGTGGCCGGCTGCAGTGTGTGCTGTGGTTGTGATCGCTCCCTAGGGCACTGTCCCCCGGGGGCCCGGGCCCGTGCAGGGGTGCGCGGGGAGGGCGCCCAGGTCCGTTTGAGGGTGCGCAGGGAGGGCACCACGTCCAGCCTGTGCGAGGGTGTGCGGCCTCGTCCGACCACTACAACACGGCAGCCAGTGTCACTGTGGGGAGAGCCAGGCTGGGGAGTGACAGGAACCATTCACACACCCTGCAGATGGACGGACAGCCCCGTGGAGTGGACACCCCTCCTCTGTGCGCTGTCCGAGCCGTTCTGTTTCACGAAGGGGTGAAACCTCAGAGTTCGTGCTTTGTCTTCAGGGCATTTAAGTGCTTCCATGCTCCTTCTGATACCCTTGGTGGGTCTTAGGGAGGTTTCCCGAGTGTGTTTGAGATCCAAGTGGAAAACACACGGGTACGTGTTCCTTCTGTGACTGCGCCAGTACTGGGTGCAGAGGCTGCAGACCCAGTGAGAGAGTGTGTGTGGGGGGGGTGTCCTGGGAGGGGGCAGATGGAGCCCCAAGGACCCAGCTCTCTAAGACCGCGAGTGTTTTCCCTGCACCGTGAGCTCTCAGCAGCAGCAGTAGCTCCTGATTCTCAGGACTTCGAGGCAGGGAGGGAGGCAAGTCAGCTGGAGATGGAGCAGGAACCGTGGGGTGTGGGCCGAGTCCCAGAAACCATCTCCAGGGGTCCTCTGAGACCTGCTTCCCGGGACGCAAGGCTTCGGTTGGGGTGTAACTGACGGGGGACCGCAGAGCGGCTCTGGTGGGGCGGTGGTGAGACGCACCTTCCCTGGCACAGGAGGGTGACCTCAGCACGCCCTCCCGATCCCGGGGTCCTGTTGGGTGGTGTCATCTGGCCCCCCAAAGCCACACTGACTTTCTGTGTAACTAGGGTTGCGCACACCTGTTGGCTGTCACCCGGCGCGATCGTGTGACCTGGCGGCAGGCCCCGGGTGTCCCGGCGGTGGACCCGCAGCCCACTGGTTCTCCAGCGGATGGGATTTTGTTTCCTGAAGCCAGATGTGCTGGGCTTGCGCCGAGTCAGCCCACTGGGCCCTGTTTCCACACCCTGATCGGCTCCTTCCTAGAGGGACTCAGTGTCCAGGTGGCCCGGGCCGGCCCGCGGGGATTTGGGCAGGGCTCTGCCCCACCGCCTCCTTCCGGGACCAGGGCCTGCCTTTCTCGCCCCGAGTCCCTTCCTGGAGAGCACCTGTGCCCTGGACCCCCTGGGAAGTCCCTTCAGCTTGGACTTCCTGCCGGTTCGCCCAGTTTGCTCTCAGGCTCCTGTTACTCCCCGCTCCGTCCACTCTGCCTCCAGACCCAGGAGTCCCAGGTCTCGGTCTGGGTCCAGTACCCCGTCCTCCTGCCCGTGGAGCACTCCCTCCGGCCCGCGTGGGGGGCACGTCACCCGCGGCCGGTCCAGCTCGTCATCTCGTTCCCCTGAGCCCCCGGCCACGCTGCCGTCTGCCGAGGGGATCGCCCACTCTCGGCGGCCCAGCGGGAGCGGGGTGAACGCCTGTCTTCCTCGCTCACTCCGGGCAAAGCACCACATACGGGAAGCTCACACTGCAGGGTTACCCCTCACTGCAGAGGGCCGGCAGGGTTGGCTCCTCCTGGAAGCTGAAGGAGACCCCGGTTCCCGCCTCCCTCCTGGCTCCTGGCTGCTCCCGGGACATGGCTGCACCCCCTGACCCTGCTCTGACTTCTCCCCTCTGCCCCGTGTCGCTGTTTCTCGCGGTGTAAGGACGCCTGTCATCGGATGAGGGCCCACCCCAGTCCAGGGTGACCTCTTTTTACCTAATTACACCTGCACAGACCCTCCTTCCAAATCCAGTCCCTTGCTGAGGTTTCGGGGGGACGTCCCTCCACAAGTCATCAACTTCCTTGTGTCCTTGCGTCCTGGCGGTGCAGGGGTCAGAGGTGTGTCACGGGCGTTAAGACAGAAGGATGGATGGAGCGCACGGTCTCTGTGCCGGGGCTTCTCACGCAGCCAGGGCCCCCGCCTCACGCTCTGCCCCTCCGCAGGCCTTGCTGAAGATGGACTGCCAGGGCCTGGTGGTCAGGCTCGTCCAGGACTTCGTGCTCCTGACCACGGCCGTCGAGGTGGCGCAGCGCTGGAGGGAGCTGGCCGAGAAGCTCGCCAAGGTGTCCAAGCAGCAGATGGACGCGTACGAGTCTCCCCACCGGGACAGGAACGGGGTCGTGGACAGCGAGGTGAGCCGGGCTGCTTTCCCTCCGCCCGGGAAATCGGTCGTAGCGATGTCTCTTCTGTAGTTTCCGTGAGGACAAAGTGAGTTAGAGCGCGAAAGCTCGTGTCCAGCACACGGCCGGCCTCCGAGTGGGGCAGGTCCCGTTCTCCTTGGGGTCTTCCTTGGTGACTCCCACTCTGACGCTGGCAGGGCCTGTAGTGGGGAACGGCCCCTCCCTTGCTAGTCCCCATCTCAAGTCCCCGTCCTCGGGGGTAACGCATGAGCGGGGCCCCTGGGCTCCGCTCTCACCTGTCCGTGGAGGTGGCTTCAAGCTTCTGGAGGCCTGGGAGGGTGACCAGGCCTGAGGGTGTCCTTGGTTAGCAGGGCGACTTTCTGAACGAGTGGCCACGATAGAACGAGCAGGGACTATCAGGAGAGCGTCCTTCTGATTGTCGAGACGCCGTTTGCTCCGTGCCCGCTCCGGCACGCCCGCCCGCCGCGCTCACCCGTGTCCCTCTCCCTCCCCGTGTCCCTCCCCCTCCCCCGTGCAGGCCATGTGGAAGCCCGCGTACGACTTCTTACTCACCTGGAGCCACCAGATCGGGGACAGTTACCGGGACGTCATCCAGGAGCTGCACACGGGCCTGGACAGGATGAAGAACCCCATCACCAAGCGCTGGAAGCACCTCACGGGGACGCTCATCCTGGTGAACTCCCTGGACATCCTGCGGGCGGCCGCCTTCAGCCCTGCGGACCAGGATGACTTCGTGATCTGAACGCCCCGCCCCCCCCGGCCTGCTGCTGCCCCGGGGCCTGGGCCCTTGGCCCCAGCCGCCCGCCGTCTCCCCTTGCTGGGGCGCGGGGGCCGGCGCTCCGACAGGGCGGGGGTGCCCCGGGCTGGCCCCTCGCCCGGGACCAAGCACACAGGATGATGCTCCACCTGCCGCCCCCGTGGCGGGGGGGCCGGAGGGATTTCTCCTGCAGGTCATTGCCAATCAGATAGCTTTCTATTTGTTACGTGTGAATTTAAAATCACTTTTTCTAACATTTGGGGAGAAAGGGACATAGGACAAAGGCGGTATCTAATTTTTTTATTGGACCGTACAGGTAAAACACAAAACAGAACGTAGGGGGGCAGATGCTGTTGAGGTTTTTGTTCCCGAAGGCCTCTTTAAATTATGCTACAGGTGTACATATGTATTTAAACGCCGCCGCGGCATCCGTCGTTGCCCCCACCCTCGCGTTCCCCCACGGAGCGTGGGAAGAGGCTTGTCGCGTGCGGGACATTTTCCCACTTCGTACTTGTAAAGAAGTATCCGATAGGAGCCGTGGTTTTCGGTAAATGAGTGTAGCTCGAGCCCGGCGTCTGAGAACGTCCTGGGTCCGGTTCACCCCTCCGTTTATTACCTGCCGTACCTGGGCCTCGAGGTGCGGGGAGGCCCGGCCCCAGGCACACGGACCGTCTCGTGGGCAAAGTTAAGTCCGACGAGCGTGACTGGGCCCTTTAGATGAGGAAGCAGCTGGGAGCAGGCATTCTTTATGGCCCCTGCTCATTCCCAGGAGCCGCCCCAGCCAGCAGGGCGGTCCCTGCAACACCCCCTCTCTGTGGTCATGGAGGACACTTCACCACGGGGACACCCTGCTGCACAGGTGTAGCCCCGCCCCCTTGCTGGCATATCCCCGGTCTCCTTGGAAATGAATAGTCTGGGGAAACCATTTTTATTTGCGATATAAAGAGGATCTGAGCAGGATGAACATTTCCTGGAAATGAACGTTTTTCCCACGTAAAAGCTGGGGCCTGGCAGTGTTGCATTGAGAACCGTTACTGTTGCAGAGTGAGTGACTTGTGTGTCGAATCCTGCGGTTGTCCCGGAGTTGTGGCATTTCAGAGGGAGTAAGGGCGTGACTGAGGTCCCCATGAGTGTGCAGGGACACACACTAAGCTTGAAAGAAGTAATGGGGGCCCCCTGGGACCCCGGATCTCAATCTCTAAATCTGCTTTCTTGAAACACAGTAATTACTCAGTATAATCAAAGTATAGTCCCTTCTGGGCTGAAACATTCTTGCGTATCTATTGATTCAGATACTAAAGATCAACTGGCTAGGAAAAAAACGATACCAAAAAAAACAAACGACAAAAAAAAAACACTACATATTTTATGCTGCAAGAACCCAGACACAATTCCCCGATCATCACACGGAGATAACCTTAAATTCTGCTTTTCGACTCTGCCTTCATTCTCTCCCCTTTTCCCCAAAGAAGAAACAAAACCAGTTGCACCTTAAACCATGGATATTCTTCCTCAGGGGCTTAAAATAGTTTCCTATGCAACGTGTCTTGTAGCACAAATTAAATTCTACAGAAGTTGCAGTAAATTTTATTTGGATATTTTGACCTCTTAAGTGTGCGTGTGTTTTTTCCGTACCAGCCAGACTTTAATAAAATCTAGTGTACGTGTCCGTGCCGGGGACAAGGGCCCCCTCCCCTGCGTCACCCCCGAGCGTCAGTGTGACACCTGGGTGGGCAGGCACCTGATTTCTTGATATGAATTTAGTTGCTCTTAGAACACGGGTGTCAGTCATCGTGGCCGGTGGGACTCGGCGTTGCCCAGGGCACCCAGCAGTTCAAGCAGAGAGCGGACGTCATTCAGGCCCCGGGCCCCCGGGACTGGCAGCTGCGATCCCACCAAGCAGTGTGGGGCTGCTGCCATCGTCCCCGAGGGCTGGCTGCAGCAGCCATGACTCCCAAGGGCCCTGCCCCTGCCCCCCCCGAGTGCCACAGGGGTCCTGTGCTGTGGAGGGAGCCGGGTGGGGAACCCAGTGAAGACAGTGGGGGCAGCAGGACTCAGGAAAGCCTCATTGGGGAGCGACCCAAGGGCCACAGGCTGAGTGGGAACCGGCGAGCCTAAGACCAGGCCAGATCTGGGGAACAGGGTTTGTGTGGCATCAAGAGGGTACAGGGGACCCCAAGAGGCCAGATCCTCCCATGGGGCTGGGGCATGTGGAAGAGCAAGGATGGCCTCTTCTGCCCTCCCAGCCTGGCCGGCTAAGTCCTCACATGATGTGACCTTCAGTGCAGCTGACAGCAGAGCCGGGGATTTGAACCCAGGGCTGTTGTGGCGAACTGTGGGACCTAAAACGGGAAATGTGCTCTCGCAGCTGTGGAGACCAGAAGTCCGAAGTCAGGCGTCCCGTGGCCATTTCCCTCCGCCTGTCTCGGACCTGGCTCTGAGGGCCGCCTGCCTGCACTGAGTACGATCTCGTCGCCTGCTTCCATCTGCGGGACCCTGTTTCCGAATCAGGTCGCGTCCCCGGAGCAGGGTCAGGACTTCAACTCACAACACTGCCCCCAGCTGGGGCCTTGGTGGAGGCCTGTTTGGGAGGACAGGAAGGAATCCAGTTCCTCTAACAGCCCTCTGCCCAGTTCACCAGGAGGGCCAGAGGGGCCCAGGGAGACCACCTCCGACGGCACCGGCTGTTCGCCCGAACCCTCTCTTCCTGAGCCAACGACTGCACAGTTTCAGTTACCCTCGGTCAACCACTGTGCAAAACCTTAAATAGAAAATTCCAGAAATAAATCATGAGTTTCACAATGCGAGCTGTTCTGAGTCACATGATGAGGTCTCGCCATCCCGCCCGGTCACCAGGGGACTGTTGCGGTAGCCCCATGCCTGTGTGCGGGTGACCCTGATTTCACTGCATGGGGCCGCGTTTCCATCACTTTTATCACAGTTTATTGTTATGACCCAGCTGTGCCCACCCGCAGGTGTGCCCACTGGGGACAGCAACTGGCATAAGAGCCCTGGCATGAGCAACAGGTGCCCAGAGCCAGAGCTGGGGCAGGTCGCTGGCAGCTGTGTTTTGGGGAAGGGTGACGGGTGTCCCTCCACGCCTACCTTCTTAGATGGCTTTGAAAGTGTGTGAGCAGGGTGGGCCATGTCCCTAAAATCCTAGGTATTGGAGCTATTTGTACTTCAGAGTTTTCCTTTTAAAAAGCATGTCAGTGTTATTGAGGTATCATTGACATGTAAAAAAGTGTCCCTTTTTAAAAAAATTTTTTAATTTTTCTTTAAATTAAAAATTTTTGTTTATCCTCACCTGAGGACATTTTTGCATTTATCTTCAGACAGAATGGGTGGGAGGGGAGAGAAACATCAATGTGAGAGAGACACATCGACTGGTTGCCACCCACACGACCCGAACCGGGGCCGGGGACAAACTGCAACCAAGGTACGTGCCCTTAGCGGGAACCGAACCCGGGACTCTCTGGTCCATGGGCCGACGCTCTAACCGCTGAGCCAAACCGGCCAGGGCTAAAAAGATTTGTTATCCTCACCCGAGGACATTTTTGCATTTATCTTCAGACAGAGCGGGAGGGAGAGGGGGGAAGAGAGAGAGCGAAACATCGACGTGAGAGAGACACATCAAGTGGCTGCCACCCACACGACCCCAACCGGGGCCAGGAACAAACCACAACAGGTACGTGCCCTCAGCGGGAACCGAACCCGGGACTGTCTGGTCCGCAGGCCGACACTAACCGCTGAGCCAAACCGGCCAGGGCAAAAAAAAAGTTTCCCTTTTTTAAGACCCCGAAGCGATCATCCTCGAGTGGTTGCACAACACGAAGGAGCTTAACACCACGGGCCTGCCCTGAAGCGCTGGGAAATGGTCAAGGCGGTCAGCTTTGCCGTGTGTGTTTCCTCATGACCCTTTCGATGTGGAACAGGTACAGAGTCCCTGCCCTGCAGAGTCTGACCGTGACCAAGAGGGAGCAGCCCGCAGTGAGCACGCCGGGCTCCACTTGCCTGTTGTGTCCGGGCCCTTGAGCAGCTGGAGAAAACCGATGGGCTCCTCAGAGGCCGGAGACACGTAACCCGAACCCAGGGTCACAGACGAAAGCAGCTGCATTCACGTGCATTTCCCAGAAGACGTACATCGAGGCGTAGGGCTACACGTGCATTTCAGGCAGCAAATAGCAGGCAAGCGGTGGACGTCATACCCGGGTAGCTCAGCGTGGTGGTGAACTTCGAGATGGCCACAGAACATGAGTGGAAATGCAAACACCCGAGATCGAGAAATGGTCAGAATCACAGGGACTTCTAATATCACAGGGCTCCTTGCTCCCGTGCGTCCGTGAAGACAACGCTGGTGTTCAGCTAGAGGGGACGGGAATGATGGGATCGTCCCCTGACTTAAGAAAGAAGAGCCCATCCTGAGGAAACTATTCCCATGCTTTGCTGTGCCTCCTGTTTCGAGTTGCTTGTATTACTCGTGTCTGCCCCAGGTTGGCCAGAACGGTATTTTTAAAGATTTGCTTCTCTGATATTCCACCAGGGAGATGGGACACTTGAAAAAATGAATCGATTAATTGGCTGTGTCCATGACTTTTAAAGACCACTTCTTAATCGCCTTGATTTCCCATTTCAATATCATTTTCCTCTTTGCGGGCAGCAAAGAACCACCGGGACTGGGGGCACGGCGTGAACCTCGGTGGCCCTGGGCAGGGCGGCAGGAGGCCCGGCGGCCGCCCCTCTGGCGTGTGTCTAGGTGCCCGCCGTGAGCACACGGGGTCACGGGCGCCCATCAGGGGAGTCTGTGTTCCGATAAGGAAGGTCCAGACCCAGGAGCCAGTATCTGAAACGGAGCCCACGGGGCGATGGCTCCCGGTGGGGGTGCGGTGGCAGGGAGGTCCTGAGGAGACCCTGAGAGGGAGGGGGTGGGTACAGCCAGCCGGGTACTGACGGTACCACCTGTGTCCGGCACCGCTCTGGGCCCTGGGGGTGACCCCTGTCCCA